ATTACAACATTTAAAAGACATTTGGACAGGTATATGGGTACGATAGGTTTAGAGGGACATGGGCCAAATGCCAGCAAATGGGCCTAGTTTTGTTTGGGAAACCTGGTCAGCATGGACAAGTTGGGCTGAAGGGTCTGTTTCTGCGCTATATGACTATGAGCACTGAAGAAGTATAGCACTGTCAAAAGGTGCTGTCACCTTTCAGATGGAGGTGTTAAACCGAGGCCCTGGGCACTAAAAATCCCACAGCACGACATGAAAGAAAAGCTGTGAGCTGCTCCCAGTGACCAGCTGAAATTTACCCTTCGATCAGTATCGCTAAAGATAATTATCAGGTTCTCACTACATTGTGGGAGCTTGCTGTGCACAACAGCAAATTGGCTTCTCGCTTCCTAACTCACAGCAGTGACTGCACTACCACAGCTCTTCAACACCTGTAACAAAATTGCAAAAGGCTTTTAAAACAGGTTTAAAAAGTAAAAGAATAATGACAGGGAGCTAGCCTAGGAATAAAGGGGAAATCTACTGGTGCATGGATCCCTGGTGGGGAGCGAGGGCATGAAAGGGTTATTAAAAACAGTGATGGAAAGAAAATGTTGGTGTATTGGAGAAAGGTACAGAACAACCAATAAGAGTAGGTGATGGATTAATTGGAAGATCTTAAAGTTAGCAGGGGGTAGGGGAGATCCCAGCCCTTATCGCTAGTCCTGTAATCTGCTGAGTGAGGCCAGGGGAAAAAGCAGCTGCAGTTGTACAACCCTCCAAGGTATAAATTGAGCCCGGGGACACCCTGGTTTCAAAAACAAAACAGATACCATAATTCAGAAAGTCTAACGGGGAGGCAATGGCCTCGTGGTATTATTGTTGGACTGTTAATCCAGATAATGTTCTGGGGACCCGGGTTCGAATCCCACCACAGCTGATGGTGGAATCTGAATTCCATAAAAAAAAAATCTGGAATTAAGAATCTAATGATGACCATGAATCCATTGTCAATTGTTGGAAAACCCCATCTGGTTCACTAATGCCCTTTAGGGAAGGAAACTGCCATCCTTACCTGGTCTGGCCTCCATCTGACTCCAGACCCACAGCAATGTGGTTGACTCTTAATTGCCCTCTGGGCTGTTAGGGATGGACAATAAATGTTGCCTGGCCAGCGACACCCTCATCCCGTTAATGAACAAAGAAAAC